GGGCTATACCGTACAACTCACATCCGCTGTAGTCGTCCCCATGATAAAAATATTTTTTATTTCAATTTGTTAGTGCCGGACATATATTGGCAGACATATTTAAGGTAAAAGTTGTTCGAAGTTTGCACTTTTAGTTTTCTTTGGACATGGGTTGCTTTTTACGAAGCCCACGAGGGGACATGGGGAACACTTTTTTCTTTTGCGTTCCCACGCAATAGTATTGCGTTACCTCACAAAAGTCATTTATTACTGTTGTGCCTTCCGGTCTATTAACAAATTCACATTTACAATTAGCGAGTTAGCCAACTACTGTAATTCATCTTCAGAATGAATATATCACACAACTACGCATGGAAGTATGTCATATGCCGATATTTTAACACAGTGCAGTCACGCAACATCAGGGTCAATTTCACGAACTTGTGGCAACACATTGTGTTTTGGTAACTGGATTTTTCAAAATAAAAGTCTGATTTAATTCAGTTCATATACAAAACAATTTTGTGAGGGAATGCAAACGTTTGCGCGGTAATGCAAAAAGTTTTGCGAGGTAACGCAAAAGTATTGCATGGGAACGCAAAAGAAAAAAARTCCTCCCGTGTCMCCTTGTGGGCTCCACAGATTTTTTTTACTCATTTTAGTCTTGCCATTTTCAGCTTTTTATTTGTCTGTTTATTAGGATATAAAAATGCTCCTAAAGACAGGAGCTAAAGCAGTGTTATGTCAAAACATAATGGACAACTCACGTTTGTTTAAAGTATTTAGTTTACCACAAAGAGACAATTTGTCCCATTTTTTGTACACAACTTATAATGACACCTTATAGGTACAGACATTTGMCAAATTCTCTCCTTGCAAAGCTCAATCATTCATTCTTTTCCATGTTTTTTTTCTGTTTAGGGTTTTTTGTAAGAGAAAGGATTCCGTCACCAGGTGAGAGGCTGGGAGTGTYCTGAACATACTGCCCGTCTATCACAGAACTACTGCTACTTTTTAATCACACAACAAACACGAACGTGTTAACATGATTTCCTGCTGTATATAATCAGAGCTGAGAACTGAAGTTTGGTTTGTTTAGGCTGGTGAGAATGATGTCAGTCCTGCAGAGTAAGCCACCAAATGAATTCAGAAAGGTGAACTCTTAGGCTGGTTGTAAAGCCAGCTTTGCTGCTGCAGACTGAACCAACCCCAAGATTTTATTATAGACATTAGAACCGGAGTGATAAATTATTCAGGCCTATCAGCAGATGCTAACTCACAGCAGATAAAAATAATTTTCACACTACACTATTACTCACAATACTAAATTGAATTTGTTCCATCCATCCATCCATCCATCCATCC